TTACGAGTAATTTTTGTAGATTATATATGTATACAGGATGTCTCATTTAAATAACTTTTTTAATTGTAAAAGCATACAGAATATTTTATATTTATTTTATAGTAATTTGAATGATACTAAGTGGCCAATATTGTGCAGGAATTTTTTTCAAAAGTTGTTCTCTTTTGAAATTTTCAAAAGTCATCGATGTTCTTTTCAAAGAATTACAAGTCTCTCTGTCTCTCTCTTTCTTCAAATGAGCTTGAACCCCGAAATGAAAGTTGAATTTAAAATTCATACCTGGAAAGAATGCAGACTTTGCTAGAGACAAAAGAATATCCGAGATGACTTAGTCATAAAATTTACAAATTTACACTTAGTCATTTATCACTTACTTTTATTTAATATTTCATTTTAAATGTTCGAACTATCTTTCTTAGACGATAATATATTGTCTAAAATGAATCATAACTTATCGTAATCCGACAAGTATGACCTTCATCTTCGGGATTAAAGATCGTTTGAAAGTCACATCATAGTACATCTGAATGTACTTTATCATGAGCTATACGCTGTAATAGAAAAAAAATACAATTATTTGGAGAAAAACATCGATGACCTCGAGAATTTCGAGAAAATACAATTTTTGAAAAAAAAAAAAAAAAAAAAAAAAAACACCGCTTGCCACGTATATTGACATCTAACATCATTAAATTACGCATTAAATATTTTTGCGCCCTCGTAATTGAAAAAAAAAAAGATCGTCGTATCTTATTGAAATGTATTCACTCTGCACTGTTATTGGCTAGCTTTTACTTACGTATCTCGTAAAAATGCAACAGAGAGAGAAATGTTGCACCTGGTCACTACAGCCAGTAAATTTCTATCGAGTGCAAGTTAAATTCCAAAAAAGTTCTAAAATTGATTTCCTTTTCGTCAATACGAATACAATTTCCATGCAAATGCACAAGTGTATAGGTCCGATGTTACGTGAAAAGTCTGCCTATACTACTTACCGAGGGGAAAGTAGTTCAGAGTAGACATAGCCCAACAGGTACGAATACGTGAAAAAATTGTTCGTTAAAAAATGGTCCGTAATAAAAACAAATGATTTCATTGTATCCCTTAAAACGTTGTTTCGTGCTTTTCTTTGTCATGGTATCAAATCTCAAGTTCAAGTTGAAGGAAATTGCAAAAGGATTACTAGATATGTCGACATCACTCCAACAATCTGCAAACAATCGCGAAATATTTTTTTTTTTGAATTACAGATTTAAACGAGTCGTTAACTATCTCGTTTGTATTGAAATGACAATTGAAAGATGGAACGTAATGAGGAATGAACGATTTCATTTTGCATTCGAAACGACTGGATTGTCGCGTATTAAACGTTTAAACTATCGATGAAGTATCTACTCGAAAATTGGATGAACTTCGCGCAGAACCATTACGAACTCGTTTCGGCGTTGAAGCCGGAAAATCGAGAAGTGAGTTAGAGTATCCTCTCGGAGGCTTTTTCGCAATGCAATTTACCGGTGCAATAGTACCGGTAACATTTGAAAACCATGGTTATTAAGCGGAATCCAATTAATCTTCCGTTTTGATATGATAGCAATTTTCTTCAAGTTGATTCATGCATGGAGGAGAAACTGGTTGTATCGTTTGTAATTAAAGTTTCCTCTTCTCTGGAAAAAAAAATAAAAAATACATTTACCGAGTAGAGCAATGATAGTTTGATGTCGAAGAAACCACCGGCGGAAAAACGAAGTCGTCTATTCAGAAAGTGCAGCGTAGTGCAAACGGTATCCTGTAAATAGATTCAATAGTTAACGACTGAATAATTATACCCGATCGTAAATCTGGTAAAAATACGAATTTGTATTCAAACACTCGCATCATATGGAAATCTTCTGACTATTCTTGCATCCCATTCAATAAGAATCACAGGCATGATATTAGCCTAAAAATTTGCAATTTTTCAATTAAAGTTTCTAAGGAACGTTGCAATTCAATGGAGAAAATTGCGAATGAAATGAAAAACTGTGATCGACGATTACCTCGGTTGTCGTATAATCACAGGCAATGTGAAGGGCCAAAAGTTGCATTATAAATCCGACCAGCCAACAGCACATAGCGAATATCAAAAACCAACTTATGTTGGACCAGGTGTTCAAGATGACCCAATCAATGACGAAGTACAGGTTGCTAATGGTGTGTATACTCAAATTTCCAAGCCAGAACAGTAGCGACCACGAGTAAAGGGAACCTAGCACCTCGCTCAATAGCATTAAGTCGTTGTACAATTCCTGAACAGTCTTTTTCGAGTAAACATAAAAGCAATTTTACGGCTTATTGTATAGAAAAAAAATACAGCTCGAGTTTGAATTAGTGTACAATATGTACCTTTCTGCTGACAGTGGTACTTTTGTATCCGACTCTTGGAGGTAAATTTTCTTTGGCGATCTTGTTCAACTGATGAAATCGTTGACCAAGAAAACTCATCATTCCGAAGAACTTGTAAACAGATGCCGCGGAGCCGACGTAAAGACACATATAACTCACATTAAACAACCAAGTCTCGTCAAAAGCATACATCCCAGTTTGATTAACGGCTGTCCAGACAATAATTTGGCTGATCAGAAGAATCCACGTCGTTACTTCGGTTCTCACCTCTTTGCGCGGATAGCCTAGTTGGCTGAGTCTCTCGTCGAAATCCTGTTGGGCATTCCAAATTCGGCTGAATGTTTCCCTCGTGAATATCGTCAATACGAGATCGTACATAGCGACAAGATAGTTGACTGTTACCTGTGGTACCATAATAAACATACATGCTCTGAGAAATCGTCTGAAAACCGCTTATACGACTGGGAAAAGTACTGAAATTACCTTAGTAGTTTCGACCACGTTGAGGATCGTTTTGTTTCTGTGCACCGAAAGGAATTTTAGGTAAACGATGTATATAATGTGAGAATAAATAGCCATAAAAGCGAAGGTAAATAGGAGACAGCAATTCGATGGAGTTAACTGATCGCCCATGAAATCGTAAGGCGCTAAACCGAACACTTTCATTGCGAAAACTACGGGGTAAATCGCCGAGTACAGTAACGAGTCTGGGCCGCGAAACTTTTTCACTTGAGTCTTTTTAGCTCGTGTCACTTCTTCCAGCATAGTTTCAACGTCGAATGGCTTCACCCGTGTCTTTGACAATGGAACAGTCACTTTCCTCTGGTAATGCATCAATTCCTTCTGGATGAACTTCAAGAAATTCATTTTTCTCATTAATAAGCCGTTGCTGCTTTTCACGCAAGTTGTCAACTGCAAGAAAAGTATGCGCGTTCAGACAAGAAAAATACGCGCGTCGATTTCTAATTGCAACTGTATTGCAAAATTTTCGCGAGAGAAAATGCCTGAATGGTTCGATCGATTACAATCAAAATAAACTCGGAACGAATTGCGTGTAGCTTAACCGGCAGCCATTGTTTTCTCTGTATATTGATTTGAGGTATTAGTAAAAGCAAAAAATAGTGGGAAAAAAAATTTTTATAACAAAGGATCCAAGTGAACTTGTACATGAATTCATGCATGTAAAACCATTTTTTTCCTTTGATTTATTGTTCCATCGTCGATCATTTGTTTGTTAACTGCATTTGATACACGAAATGCTTTCCCATTTATTCTCCGCGCTTCGTACCGCAATCGCTTGCAGCAACAAATTAATATCGAAAGGAACTTGTTATGAGAAACGAAATAGAATTGTGTCGGCTATTAAATTAAAGATCAATGCAAATATTTATATCCCCAACTATTCATTCGCTTAACAACATGTTAATAATTTAGAATAAAAGAATGAATGAAGAAAACACTTTGCTCGTCTCCTTGTCTCCTTTTCGAACGCGAGATTCGATCGAGAATAAACGAATTCACAATTGAAATTAGAATCGAGTTTATTCATTTTTTCTTTTTTTTTTCCACAAAAATAACAATGTCCAGGCTTCATATTGGAACTGCTTCAAGCTACGTGGAAAGTCAACGTGAAGAATGAAATTTATGATTTAGAAACTCGAATAAAAAGTACGGGTTCATGGTGAAAAGTGGAGGATGCAAAATAGTTAAAGTTACCTGTCGCGTCGACGTGAAAGTGGCTTTTCGATCTCGACTGTTCCTCGAGGATGATGCGACTAAATCAAAAGAGAAATTGTACAGTCATTCCATTTGGTGATACGATGAGCGGTCGAACGTTTCCGAGCAACCGCATAAATAACAACGAAAACAGAGTTTCCCATCGGCTGTGATAAAGCAGGATTAAAATCGTTAATCTAAACAGCCGTATGTTAGAACGAGCAACATTCTTCCAATCGTTGTTAAATTATGAATAATTTAATAGCCGAAGTCGAATAACAGACCGTTCCAGTGGATCTATCTTCCCATCGAGCATTTGTTATCGTTCCTTTCTCGCTGAAGTGTTACAAATCACGAGCGATTTATCGATCTTTCGTCAGTAGATAACGAATATTAGAAACTGCGAGGAATGATAATGTCACTTTAGTGTCATCCTAATCGCGTCGAATCCAAGCTAAACGACACATGCCTATCTCTTGTATGCAAGAATTGCAAACAGTTGGCTGTTTATTTCACTGCCATCTCATGCCACTCGTTATCTGTCAATCTGACTCGTTCAATGCGAATCAATATTTGTCCATTCGTTAATGATATTTTTTACAGTTCGTTATCGACAACGCTCGATAAAATTTATTACATTTTTTTTCTTTTTCTGTCGTTGATCTTCAATCACCAAAATTCACTGATTTGAATAATCGACGTTGGTACACGAACCTGTTCACATTCAGAGTATTGCTAAATGGAAATGATAAGCGTCTATTAATCAGATTTTTTATGGCTGATACTTGACCTCCGAATAGTAATTTGCCTATTTGTTTCTTTAATCTTTTTTTCTGTTCATGAAATAAATTATTCTTTTTAAACAATTTGAATGTCATTAAAATAAATGTCATAAAAATAAAAACTAATTAAACATGACTGATTTATTTCAATCGATCATAGTACAGATTGTTTCGTATCTGTATCAGAATTTCGTGTTTGGCTTTTTAAGAA